GTAATATCAGCCCAGTAAGCTTCCAAATACTAAATGAACTATTAAAAGGGGAAAAAAAAGACAATGAGTTTTAGAGAAAAGGCTCAGGCCTCTGGGTACACCTTGCAATACTGTGAAAGGTAATTACGCTGGGAGGGCGGGGCCTGTGCACTGCAGAAATGTTCAGGGCCCCATATTGATCTTTTCCCAGAGAATAAGATTAGCTCCCTTGAAGTCTTCATAACTTCTAATTAGCCAAAATTTTGTCTTTTTTTGTTTATTTATTTTGAGAGAGAGACAGAGTGCGAGCTGAGGAGGGGCAGAGAGAGAGAACCCCTGTGGAGTCCGATGAGGGGCTCAATCTCATGACTGTGAGATCATGACCTGAGCCAAAACCAAGAGTTGGACGCTTAACTGACTGAGCCACCCAGGCGCCCCGAGATTTCCTCTTTTTCATCTCTTATCCTGTTTCCTATTATTGTTAATATCTAAACACTTGATGAACAGTGTTTGGCATCCTACACTTACGTTTGTCTGTGTAACACCAAAGTTTTCTAGAAGAGATGTGCTATGTAACTCTAGGCATTCAGTGAACTCTGCAGGCAGCTTGACACTTGCCATAAGCCATGAAAACAGACTAAGTTGAAGTGGTGTGACTAGGAATCCAAAATGTCTCTACTGTTACACAACTCAATTTTAGAGCCACAAACCCACCCCTATGTAAGAAAAAGAGGAACAGCTAAAATACAATCCAGGAGGGGCGCCTAGGTGGCTCAGTCGGTTAAGCATCCAACTCCTGGTTTTGACTCAGGTCATAATCTCGTGGTTCATGGGTTCAAGCCCCATGTCGGGCTCTGTGCTGACTGCCAGCTCAGAGCCTAGAACCTGTTTCAGATTCTGTATCTCCCTCTCTCTCTGACCCTTCCTACTCATGCTGTCTCTCTCCCTCTCTCAGGAAAAAATAAAACATTAAAAAACATTTTTTTAATATAACCCAGGAAACCACCATTTCTTTAACATAAATGCAGCACATCGGGAATTCTATCTAGGAGCACCTGGGCAGCTCAGTCAGTTGAGCGTCCGACTTCAGCTCAGGTCATGATCTTACCGCTCGTGAGTTCAAGCCCCGCATTGGGCTCTGTGCTGACAGCTCCGAGACTGGAGCTCACTTGAGATTCTCTGTCTCCTTCTCTTTCTCTGCCCTTCCTCTGCTTGTGTGCTCACGCTCACATGCGCGCACACACTCTCTCTCAAAGATAAATAATTAAAAAAAAAAAAAAAAGAAAGAAATTCTCTCTAATTGCTTGAAAGTGTTTCCACACTGAACAAGCCAATCCTCAAGGTAACTTCACTGTGGGGTTTTCCTACCTCCCATCCATCCTGTTACTCATGACACATAGGAACCCATCAGTGTGGACTGACTGACGGCTTCCGAGAAGGAAGCTCACCTGGAGAGCATAGCTGTGTAGGCATCACTGGCATGGCTTTGCTCCCGATTCTTCTTCACAGCAGGGGAGATGTCCTTCCTCACTCTGACAAGGTCCTCTACTGTGTTGAAGGACAGTTTAATGTAATTCCGCTTCAAACCCACCAAGTGATTTGGCTACAAAGTGAAGAGATTGTGCTCATGAATTCCAGATAAAAAGGACTTCATTGGGGAAAGACAATAAGGGGAGAACGACTCAAAGGTAAATCGAGTAGAAGAGTCAGCAAGTCCAAAGGACCCTGTCCAACTGCGCGTGGCATCAATTATGTCAGAGACTTCTCCAGGAGGATGTACGAACAGTCACCAAAGCCCCACCACCCAAACCACCCCGCAGGTGATAAGTTGGCCGCTTCCCATCCCACTCCACGTGCAGGGTAGACCCCCTCATTCACCCGGGAAGGTCCAAGTGGTGCTCACCAAGTCCAGGTCCTCTTTGGGCACAGTCTCTACTTTAGCAATTTTACCCTGAAACTTCTTGGACAGAAAAGATGAAACTTCTCGCTCGCAACCCTAAATTGAGATCAGAACGAAAGGACTTTCTATAGTGAAATCTGTCTTCCTGGCCCGTTTCTCTAGAGGCCCCTTTACATTCAGTTCTGAAGCCCCCCTAACATGCGGCTCAGGTCGTGTGACCTGATGCTATGAACTACACTTACCTTTCTGGTTGCAATGTAGAAATACGGCTTGTAGGGCAAGGCCACCTGCAAGAGCCACCAACCATTCAGGGGAACAAGAAAGAAAAAAGGGAGAAAAGTGAAGACATGCTGTTTGCTGTTACACCCACGAGCAGCCTAGGTCCAATGCATCCTTGACCTTGACAGCTCTTAAGAAAGAACGCAGCAGGAAATGAAGACCCGCACGTAGGGCTGGGGCAACAGTCTGGGGCAGACAGCGCTACTCCTCGGTCAGTCTTTCCAAGCTGGCTCCTCTCACGACATCCTAAACGGTGACCCAACCGCTCTTCTAGCAGCTACCACTTTGGACCCAGTCACACCTCATCACTGAGTGGGTTTTAGCTTCTTGGGGTTCCGGGGCTTACCTTAAATCTGCTCCCATCATCCTGAATAAAGTAGTAATCCACGGCGCTGACTAGGCGTTTATCTTCATCTAAAATCTCGGTCTACAAGAGAACCGGCCAGCATGGGCACGTCACCCTCTCCACAGTTCAAGAACGCTCTCGTTCCTCCTCTTTGGGAAACTGAGCATAAAAACAAACCCCTTCTGCCCACCTCACTCCTGCATAACGACCCCCGGCCCCATTCACAAGAACTGCGTTGCAACACCTGCCCAGTGATGCTTTCTCTCAGGCTCGCCCTCATCCTTGAAAACTGCATTTTTACAGGTTAACAGGGACATCCCTCACCTTGGTCTTCCCAGCAGCCTCTAGACGGCCCAGTGGTGTTAAAGAGGGAAGCGGGAGCGCTACAAACAACGCTGTGCCAAGGCCTAGGCCACTAGGAGGGGTGCGGCTGCCCTCCTGAGCGGGAAGAAGACAGAAAAGAAGCCCGGGTGCTTACAGGGTGCATGTTGATGAGCCAGCCCGTCTTCTCACCAGGCTCCTTGAGTCTCTCAAAACCAAACCGCATATCCATCTTATCTGTCCACTGGCTGCGCTCCAGGCGCTTGAGTGCCGAGACAGAGGAAGAGGGGCCATCGTCCCTGAACGAAAGGAGGGAAATCCTGTCTCCACCGATCAGGACGCCATCTACTCCACCACGCTCAGTCCACCCGGTGTAACCATTCGGGATGTGACACCGTAGATGCACCCCCCCCCCAAAAAAATACCCTCACAATTTGGCAAAACAATTCATTAAAACAACCGCACAGGCAGGATCCTCAAAACCTGTTCATCTCTGTAACAAGAGCACGAATAAAACAATCGCAGGGTGCCTGGGTGGCTCAGTGGTCGAGCGTCCAACTTTGGATCAAGTCTTGATCTCACAGTTGATGAGTTTGAGCCCTGCACTGGGTTCTCTTTTGTCAGCACAGAGCCTGCTTCAGGTCCTCTGCCCCCTCTCTGCCCCCCTACCCCGCTCTCTCTCTTTAAAAAACTAAACCAAAAAAAAAAAAAAGTTAAAAAAACAATCGTGAATGGACGCTGCTGCCTTATGAAATATGAAAAACGCACGAAGTCCAGCATGCACTCCTGGGCGTTTACCCCGGAGAATGAAACTCACATTCATACAAAAACTTGTGCATGAAATGTGCACAGCAGCTCATTCGTGACAGTCCCAAAGTGGAAACAACCCAGATATTCCTTAGCAGTGAATAATTAACCTGTTTTATCCATCCCATGCAATACTATTCATCATTAAAAAGGAACAAACTCATTGATTCCTGCAATAACTGGGATGGCTCTCAAGGGAATCATATGGAGTGAAAAAAGCCAACCCCCTAAAATTACACACTTTACAATTCCACTGAACTAGCATTCTTGGAGTAAACGAGAGACGGACGGCGGGTTAGTGGCCGGCATGAATGAGGAGGAGGGAGGAACGGAGGTGGTCGTGGCTGTAAAAACGCAGCAGGAAGGATCCATGGGATACAACTGTTGTGTTGATTGTGGTGGTGGTCACAAACATACGATGTGCACACAACACACACACACACACACACACACACACAGAGTGTCCATGCATGAATTTCAACGTCCTGACTGCAACTCTGTGCTCTAGTAACCGAGATGTTATCAGTGGGGGAAACTGGCTTCTGGGTGGGTGCGTGGGATCTCTGTGTAATTTCTTGCAACTGCCTGAGACTCTGCAATTAACTCAAAAAGTAGTTTCCTTGTATTTTTATTTTTAAAATGGCAGTTCTCAAATCTATTAGTTTGTCTCAGGGTGAAATGAAAGTAACCATAACAAGGAAACGGCAAAATCGGCGGCACAGTGCAAAAGAAAGCAAGATTCCCGATGACCGCCAACCTGGCCTGGATTCTAACTCTGCCAAAAACGAGCGGTGACAATTAAATCGTATAATGCATATGATGTGCAGACAGGGCTCTCTGTATACAGCGGGTGCTCAATAAACAGCACTTGTGATGCTCTTGAAAGGTCAACACAGAAACAAGGGAGCAGCTTTCTCGGCTGTAAGGTAAGATCCTTTCTGTGAAAGCACACACTCGAACGACCTACTCCGTCCACGCGGAGAGCCGGGTGGCGCTCCGGGAACCCGGCCTGCGCCCGCACCACTTCCGCGCCCCCCGCGCCTACACGGCCTCCGCCGGCAGGAAGCCGGCCCGCACCGGCCCGCGTCACAAACCCGGCGAGGGGCCGCGCTGCGCAGCCACGTCTCCCACCGCAGACGCCCCCACACAGAGCTCCGAGCTAAGCGCGCGGGCACCGGCGCGGGCCCGGGACCTCCGCGCCGCCCCGCGGCGGCCTGAGCCGCAGCCGCAGCCGCGCGCCCCGAACGCCCGACGCTCGCCCGGAAGGCCCGGCGCCCCTCACCGGCTGGCCTCGCCGTCCGCGCCCGGCTCCGCGCGCCGCCGCCCGCTGTTCCTCAGAACCATCGCGCAGCACCGCGTCGCTCCGCCCGCCTCGGAGTCTCAGAGAAATTTGGCGCGCTCCCACCAACTCTCGCGAGAGACCGGAAGCGCCCGCCGCCCAATAAGGAGGCCCGCCGCGCCCCGCCCCGCCGAACTCCAATCGCCGCCGCCGCCGGAGGGGCGGTGGCCAGACAGGGACTCGAGGCAAAGTGTCCGGAGGCGCGCGCCGCGCCCGGCGGGGTCCGTCCGGGGCCGCGCTGCGGGCCGCGGCGGGGAGGGAGCTGTCGGGCCGTCCCTGCGCGCGGCAGCTGTGAGGCGGGGGCTGCGGCCCCGGCAGGAGCCGACAGCGGGGGGCGATGGCGCCGGCGGCGTCGAGGCTGCGGGCCGAGGCCGGGCTCGGGGCGCTCCCGCGGCGGGCGTTCGCCCAGTACCTGCTCCTGCTGCGGCTCTACCCGGTGCTCACCAAGGCGGCCACCAGGTCGGCGCGGAACGGCGGCGGAGGGGCCGGGGCCGGGCGGGGGGCGACCCGGGGCGCGGCCGGCCTCGGGGACCCAGCCACGGGGATGCATTCTGTGCAGGGATTTGAGTGCGGAAAGCGAAATGTCTGGGCATCCCAATGACCCCCCAAAGGCCTTCAGTTAGCCAGGGAGCTCAGCATGGGCGGCCTGGTGCACTCGGTCCTCACCAGCAGTTACACACCCGGAGGCAGCCACGAAGCGTAGGGCCCCCTGCACGCCTGCCCTGGACGCGACCTCGGGCCCAGCTTCTCCGGGGGCGGCCGCAGCCTGACCTGCGCTTGTTCTGAGGTCAGAGGGGCTCAGGCACGTGCCTCCAGCGGCGTGTTAAGATTTGTGTTTTTAGTGGGCTTTACAATTGCAGAAAGGTGACCCCCCCCCTTCCCACCCCTCACCGCCCACCGCCCTCCCCGTCTGCTTGTCAGTTGCACCCTTTGATTTGGGGCACTAAACTTTTTATGAGATATCGCTCTCCTCCATTAGCTTTAATTACTTAATTTTATAAGTGTGTCCGCTTTTATTAGATCCAGATTTTCATAAGTGCGTACATGCTTCCTGTGTGCCAGGCATCAGCAGCAGTCAACATAGGTAGGTAGGGTCCCTACCCTCAGTGGAATTTCTATTCTAATGAGAGAGTAGATGAAAAGCAGATAAATATATAGCATGGATGAAGTGGTCAGGGAAGTTTTATCTGATGTGGTGACTTTTGAACAGAGGCCCGAATGAAGGAAGGGAACGGGCCAGGCAAGAAGGAAGCCAAAGAAAGCTCCCTGGGCAGAGGGTACTTCAAGGGCAAAGGTCCCCAGGGAGGAGCATGCTAATAATGGAGGAGTGGAAAGAAGAGCGGTGTTGCCTGGAGAAAACGAAAAGTTGTGGAAGGGATCAAATGAGGAAGAGGTGGCCAAGGATCAGCCCAAGAGCCTTTCACCCATACAAAGAATATTGACATTTTTAGCTCAGAGAGCTTATCGGAAGGTAGCTGTTGACCAAGCCTTGGAGCAACCGGGCCTGTCTCCATGTCTGTATTGAAATTTCTGTTGTGATCATTGTAGATTTACACGCAGGTGTAAGAAATAATACAGGAAGATGCCTCGTACACTTTGCCCAATTGCCCCCGTGGGTAACACTTTGTAAAAGTGTAGTACGATATCCCAGCCAGGCACTGGCAGACAGTCTGCAGATCAGATTTTCCCAGCTTTTCTCATACTGGCTTGTGCATGTATGTGTGTACACGTGCATGTGAGCATGTGTGTGTGAAGTTCTGCTGTCTCCACCCTTTGACGTAGGGACCTTACAATGGGGCTGCTTTAAAAACCTGCTTTGGGGGTGGCTCAGTGAGTTGAGCATCAGATTCTTGATTTCAGCTCAGGTCATGATCCTAGGGTCATGGAATCGAGCCCTATGTCAGGCTCCGTGCTGAGTGCAGCTTGGGATTCGGTCTCTCTCCCTTTGCCCCTCTTCCCCACTCGTGCTCTCTCTAAAAAAATAAAAAATTAAATAAAAACCTGCTTTGAAAAGGACTCCTCTCTGCCCACCCTACCATGATCTCAGAACAGCCACACTAAGTATACGCAGGAATGGCCCCTTCCTGCTGGCTGCTCCTGTTTTCTGATGACATCTCTGTCCACAGTGGCATTTTGTCAGCGCTCGGGAACTTCCTGGCCCAGATGATGGCGAAGCAGCGGAGAAAAGAAAACTGCTTTCAAAAGCTAGATGTCAGTGGGCCTCTCAGATATGCCATTTATGGGTGAGTTCCACGCGGGGCTGCTCTGACCAGAGCAGACTAACCATGACACGGCTAGGCTGTCAAGACCGAGTCTCTGAAATAATCTAATCTTGAGAAATAATTTTTGAAAAGTCTTGAAGTAATCATGGGGAAAAAATCAGAATGGTGGATAACGTTAACTTGTTTTATGGTTTTCATTTTGAATTGCATGAGTGGGGGTGGCTGTCTTCATTGGGCCAGAGATCTGAGGGCAGATAATTCACCTGAACGTAAATTAGACTTAAAGACACAAAGGCCATGAAAGAGGAAAACTACTCAGATATGGCTAGTTGTTTCTGTTATTTTCGCAGCTTAAACATCCAGAAAATAAATTCTTAGGTATCCTGAAAAATGTCCAGTTTCTGAATCACTTTGGGAACTGCAAAGAGCACAGAGATTTGGGAGTTTTGCCTGCTTAAACCCACGTCACATTTTGTGGCCAACAATAGTATTTGTATAGGTGGATTATTTTGACCCCTGCTTCAGGCCACATAACCTGTGGCAGGATAGGAAGCCACAGCTGAGAACCACTTGTTTAAGGACTTCGGTGTCAAAAGTGAGAAGACCCTTAGGTCCCCCCATCTTTTTATTGCTGAATCTTACGGAGCTACGGATGTGTTGTACCAGCAGATGTCGTGGCTGGGTTCAGCTCTGTCCCAAGCATTCTACTCTTTAGAATGCACAGTAGCAGGACAGAGAAGCCAGTGCCCAGCACCAGGCCTTGCTAACTACCCAACAGGGTTTGCTGAAGAGCTCTGATACCAGGGTTGCACCCAGTTATCTATTACTGAGCACCTTCTCTGACCCAGGCCGCGTTCTAGGCACTGTGGACACAGCAGGGATTTAGACACACAATCCGTCTTGTGACGTTTACCTCTAGGAGGGCAAAGAGGGCACCACAGGACTAAACAAATGAGATCGGGACATGTAGTGATAAGTGCTATGAAGGCAGTGAAATAGGACCTGGAATCAAGAGTGGCTGAGACAGCAGCCAGTTCATTATCCAGAATGATCAGGAACAGTCTCCGAGCTGACAGTGTTGAGAAGGAGCTGGCCACATGAAGACTGATGGGGGATCTGGTCTGTCAGAGACAAAAGACCATGCTTGAGGCAGGTTCAAAGAAAGCCTATTTTCTAGAAGGACCGCACGCACCTGTGTGGTCAGTGATGGGGGACTCCAGGGGACAGGGTTTCGGACCTGGGGCTTTGGGGTGAAGCCGGACCCGAGACGGACACATCCAGAGAATGGCAGTCCTGCTCACCCCCGCTGCGGGGCCCAGGTTCTTCTTCACAGGGCCACTGAGTCACTTCTTCTACCTCTTCATGGAGCACTGGATCCCCTCCGAGGTGCCCTGCGCTGGGGTCCGCAGGCTCCTCCTGGACCGCCTCCTCTTTGCGCCGGCCTTCCTGCTGCTGTTCCTCCTCACCATGAACTTCCTGGAGGTTGGTCGCCGCCGTGGTACTTACGGTAGCTCTCTGGGACACAGCGATTCTTGATCTGGCATCCGCGGGTGGGATTCTGAGGGTCTGTGAACTTTCCAGTACACTCAAGTTGAAATGTCTCATTTTTTGTTATGAAGTCAGACAGAAACCACAGTCACATTGGCGGTACCTGTCAGTCCGCAGTAAGATCACAGATGTTTTGCTATCACACAACCCAAAATATCTTTTATGTCTCAGGACCTGCCTTCAGGTCTCATCACTGAATGTGTTAAGGAAGCACATGTACTGGTCTATCATAAGATTCTCTTCTGAATATTTTGATAGCTGTATTCAGTATAGTCCCTGGTGATCTTACATATGTTATGTAAACAGGGTTCTGAGAAGGAGGTGCGTGGGATTCATGAAACAGAAGTTGCAGGCCCCTAAAGCTACTGCAGAGGCCTGAGCTAATCCACTGCCTGAACAGCATCAGTGCTCTAAAGAGGTTAACATAGGGGCGCCTGGGGGGCTCAGTCGGTTGGGCGTCTGACTTCAGCTCAGGTCATGATCTTACGGTTCGTGAGTTCGAGCCCCGCGTCGGACTCTGTGCTGACGGCTCAGAGCCTGGAGCCTGTTTCGGATTCTGTGTCTCCCTCTCTCTCTGGCCCCCCTCCGCTCACACTGTCTCTCTCTCTCTCTCAGAAATAAAAAAAAACATTTAAAAAAATTAAAAATAAAATAAAAATTAAAAATAAAGACGTTAACATATCAGCATCGACTTAAAACCTCACAACTCATTGCGTGAGAGGTGCGTTCACACGAATCACCAGCCATGTCTGTTCTAATGTGCCCAGCCTCAGACCCTTCGCAGTTCACTACACCTCCAGCCTCTCCATCCGCTGTGTGCCCGAGATTGTCCTGCTCTGCCCTGAAAGTGATCTTTCCAGCCAGTCACAGAAGGGAACTGCTTCTCCTGCAGGTTTTATTTTGAAATAGCATCTTGAGGGAGGTCTTGTTACTGAGGAGAGTGCCCCTTGTGGCTTCGAGTGATCCTTGTTGGGGAAGCAGGAAAGATGCATAATTTCAACTGTGACTGCTAATAAGTCCTTGATAGTAAAAAGAAGTGTTTGGGCAGCCGTGAGAAGGAGGAAGCAAAGGGCATCCACGTTAGAAGTGAAGGTACAGCAGTTTCTCTTTTATCCCTTGCAGCTATGAATTTTCATTAATACACAAAACCCCTGAACGCGTATGTTTCCAAAGTGCATAAAGGGCCCAACACATAAATGACATTATATCACACACACTCTATAGATGCTTCTGCATCTGCATTAAAATTTTTTTTTTAATCTGAATATAGTTGACCTGCAATGTTATGTTAATTTCAGGTATACAGCACCGTGACTCAGCTTCTCAATACATTACACTGTGCTCACCACAAGTGTCACCGTGACTCTATTACAATATCGCTGACTCCCTTCCCTGCGCTGTGCCCACTTCCAGCATTTTTTGGCCACAGAAACCGTGTTTGGACTGCACAGTATTCTGCTACTCCGCCATATGTCTCTCCCTTATGCAAAAATGTGTCCTCCCTGCAGTGTACAGAGTAATACAGACAGCTGACACTTATGAGCACTTGTCCCAAGCTCTGCGTTGGGCCCTTCATGTCATTTGAGCCACAAGTCAACCCCATTTGACAGATGAGAAAGCCAAGGCCCGTGGCTTAAGTTCCCATAACTTACGAGCCCTTGAATCCAGTCGGACCCAGGCTTTGTGACCCCAGAGCTCTTTTTTCCTCCATGTGAGGTTTGTTTCCCCACCCTCTTGACAACCGTGATTGTATTTTTCTTTAAATAGTTTGCAGTTTGATATGTAAAGGCAATGTATACATCTTTAAAAGGTTGAACACCTTTTTATATGCTTCTTATTTTTCTTCTATGAACTTTGCCTATTTTCTATCAGTGTTGGCTTTTTCTCACTGATTGTGTATTTGTATATATTATGGATATCAATCCTTTGCCAGATACAAATTGCAGATATTTTTTTCCATTTTTCAGGTGTTTGTTTAAAAAAATTTTTTTTTTGCTATTTTTGAGAGAGAGACAGAAACAGAGCATTAGCAGGGGAGGGGCAGAGCGAGAAGGAGACAGAATCCGAAGCAGGTTCCAGGCTCTGAGCTGTCAGCACAAGGCCCAACGCAGGGCTTGAACTCAAAAGATCATGACCGGAGCCGAAGTCAGATGCTTAACTGAGCCACCCAGCCGCTCCTAGGCGTTTGTCTTTTAACTTCATATAAAGATAAACGTTTGAAGTTACATAAAAGTTTATTTATAGTGCGTTTTTCCACGCATGAGGTTAAAAAATTCATGTATTCAAATATGTCATTCTTTTTCTTTGTGGGCTTCCTTAAGGGAGGATACTGGAAATATTCTCTTAAAGTTTGTTCTCTTATGATTTTATTATGCATTTTGACAAATGCAAGGATAATAGAAATATTCTATATTTTCCTCTAGTATTCTTATTTTTTTTTAATTATACATGGGAGATACACTTCTGTCTTGTTTCTTCCACTTCAGTAACAAATTATCTCATTACCATCTGTTGAAAAATCCCGTGCCTTGAAATGTCAACTTTATCATGTCCTGTCATTCCCGTACGTGCAGGCCATTATCTGGACTCTCTGATCTTTTGCTGGATTCTATTTCCATTGTATGTCTTTTATTTTTTAGCTTTTAGTTACCATTTTTATAGTATTTTAAAAATCTCTAGTAATCTAGGCCTCCCCTTGTTATTATTTTTCAAGAGAGTTATTTTTTTATGCTCTTACCCTTTCAGATGACATTTAGAATCAGTTTATTGGGGTTTGTTTTTTAAAAACTCCTGACAAGTTTTGCTTGAAAAATACATCCGTTTTGGAGATCATTTTGGGAAACACAAACAGCCAGGCTGTAAAATAGCAGCTCTGGTGCCCATTGCCAGCAGAAGAGCCCAGCGTGACATCAGCTCTGTAAGGAGCGATGGGGGCTGAGGGCAGCGGACACAGTAGAGGCAGGGGGTTGCTCACTGTCAGCTTTCCGACCGTGTGGCTGGCGGCTGATCCCTGCAGTGGCGATTAGACACAGATGTGCTGTCTACACACAAATGGAACAAGATCCAGTTTTCGGAACCATCATGTTAGGGTTTGGGGGCCTCCAGACCTTGTTACCCCAGCTTCAGTTCTGAGAGCAGTGATCGCTTACTGTCCACACTCCCGTCCTTTCCAGGGGAGGGACGCAGCTGCTCTCTCTGTCCAGATAAGGAGAAGCTTCTGGCCGGCGCTGCGCATGAACTGGCGAGTCTGGACCCCAGTACAGTTCATCAACATCAACTACGTCCCTCTGCAGGTGAGGGCCAGCTGGCGCCGTGCGGAGCCCGAGGGGCCCTCCTCGTCCCCGAGCCTGGTGTCTTGGAATGATCGGTGGTTTTCACTCCGCCCAGAATCATTAGCATCTCTGGATCAGACAGGCAAAGCATGTGTCCATGCCTCATCCGTTGGTCCCAGAAACGTTTCTGAAAAGCCCCCAGTCGAGGAACAGCTCAGATTTTCCAGGGGTGCAGTGTTGCCAGTGCCTGGCCCCGCGGGTCACAGCTGGGCTTACAGGCGGGAGTCGGGCAGTGCCAGTGCCCGGCAGGGGGCGCGGCAGAAGCGAGGGCAACCTTACCTGCAGTGACATCCACGTTCACCTGAGCAGCAGGCAGCGGGCAGGACCCGGGGGCAGGGGCCGCCGTTGGGGCGCCATGCACCGGGTTCAGCGTTTCTGGGCACCAGGGGGTCGCGGCCCAAGGTAGGCTGCTGAAACTGGGCCTCCGCTCTGAGCACAGTGAGGGCCCGGAGGGGGCCCTGCTGTGATGCACGGTCTTTACATGCCAAGGACCCCCATCTGTGTCCGGCCCTAGCACCACACCCAGGGGCGGGATCTGGTGGAGTGGCTCAGCACACCTGTGTGCTCATCACAGCCTCGAAGCAAGAATTACAACCGGACCTTAGGAACCCAGTGCAGCCTTCCGCCGCTCCTTCCCTCCCACGGGGGTCACACACAGCCAGCTCTCCCCCACCAACAGAGTGCAGCAACACGCAGGCCATGTTTCTGTCCAGGGGGGCCCTGTAAAAGCCCAACACCCAGGGTTTCTGGGAGAACTGGTCACACAGGAACCCTCTGCCTGGCACTTACCAGAATTCCAGAGCCCCAGGAGAGTAAGTGCTCAGCAGAACCACTCTGTTTTAGCAAGCAGTCTAGGCACAGGGAGCCATTCTCATCAGGTGGGGGAGGGTAGAAGCCCACAGGACCTGGAGGCTCCCGGACCCCAGGCAAGGGCTCGCCTCTCCCACGGGCCTTTCCAGGGACAGCGGCCTCAGACGTTTCTCACACATTTAAGTAACCTCCTTGGTTCCCCCCGGCTTTAGAGAGGAGAGACAGACCTGAGGCAGAACTCTCTGGAGCAAAGCTCCATTGCAAGGACGGGAAGAGAGAGGGAGGTGCAGGCTGGGTGGCCGCACACACACCAAGGAGCAGCAGAAAACCAGAAGGCGGCGGTGACACAACCACGGTCACTGCCGAGAGTGAAAGGAAAATGAAAATGGGTTAGTTTCATGGCTTTAACAATAACCCCGATCAGTGACCTTCCCAAGAGCAATTTCAGTGGCTCCGTGGCGGCTGAAGCGAGACTGCTGTGAATTGAGGAGTGGGTGGGAAAGTAGAAATCATAAGTCAGCAAAATTCTCTCAAGAAGTTTGTGAACAGGTGAGGAGAAATGGGAGAGGGTCCCTGAAGCTAGGCGAGGCCATATTCTACCCTGGAGAGGGTGCTCGGGGTTTGGGCAAAGGCAGAGAGATATGGGTCAGACAGGCTTTTCTTTACTAAGACAAGAGAGAGGCGCCTGTTCACGGGGGACCTCCCGTCGATGCCGCTTTCCTCGGGGAAGCCAGAGGCCAGGGCAGGGCCACACTGAGGCGAGAGGAGGTGGGATGGGTACTTTGAGGGGAGTAAAGGGGTAAACCTGTAGAGAAGGGCAGAGTGAGCTGACTGGAGACCTTTGGGTGCCTGGCCTAGGGCCTCGGGGCGGCGGGAACCGCGAGGCTGGAGCTTTGCCAAGGAGTATGAGGGAAGGAACAGGAAGGGAAGGCAATGAGGGCTTTGGGCCTTGGATTCTAATGTAGAGAGAGAAGGAAATAAAGACCTAGAAGAGCTGAGAATGTGAAGGGATCTGCAGACGGGAGAAGGGGAGAGCCTGGAAAATGGAACCCTCCTGGGCACCCTAGGGACACACTGCCGGGAGGCTGTGGTCACAGTTTCCATGCTGGGTAGTTGCAAGCAAGTGCTTAAGGGGCAGTGGAGCTTATTATTCTGAGCACCTACTGTATGCACCACTGCTCTGAACTCGAGGGGCACAGCGATTAACAAGATAGACCAGACTGCTACTTTCAGGGAGCCTGTACGCCAGGGAGACTCACTAATGGCCACTTCAGGTTGGAGCACATCCACAAGATCATCAGAGCGGGGGAATGGCTTCAGTGGGGGCAGGAGGGGGGTCGCCGATGGGCTGGGCGAAGCCACCACTTGATGGCCAGCCCTGGGGTGAGCAGCTAAGCCAGGAGCTGGTGCTCAGTGGAGGATGCGGGACAGTTCTCGTCGGTGTTCCCTCCTGGCCTGAAACATGGCGAGGCAGCGTCCTGCTCACCCCTCCAGCACAGCGCTTAGTACACAGTGAGGCTCAGTGAGCAGTCCTGGGGGGATGGGCTCAGTCCGGGGGGTGGGTGCCTGGGAAGCAGTCGGCGCCCCGCTCACTGTGGCCTGTGTTCGCTTTGGCAGTTCCGGGTGCTTGTTGCCAACCTGGTGTCTCTGTTCTGGTACGTCTACCTGGCCTCTCTGGGGAAGTGAAGGTGGCCTGGAGTGAACGCAGACACGCTGCCCATGTGTGTAGGGACCCACCTGCCCGGGGTGAGAGCAGACACAACCTCGTCAGGACTTCAGCTGACTCCAGATCGTGTGATTCAAGTTGGAGAAACAAATCTGTTCATGTAAGAATCTTGTGTTTTAAAAAGGCAGAAACTGTCTTCAGGTGACTCTGCCTTAGTCGTAAAATACAGTAGCGATGATTTCACTCGTCTCCCTGAATTGAGTTAGGACGACAATAAACGATAATGTAGCCTTTTCCGTGATGGTTTTAATTTCTCAGAAGAACTGCTGTCACTTTGGAAGAAACGGGTGGCTAGAAGGCTCAGATGTTTTCTTTTTTTACTTAAAAAGAAGTTGTGGTCAAATCTGTACCACTACCGCTTACCTCCGTGCGGCTGTTGGAAAAGGGCCCTTCTGGAGCGGGACTTCCCTCTGACGCGCGGAGGTCCTGCGAGAAGCACTCAGCACCCTCAGCAGACTGCTTTCTGCTGTTATTGCTCAGTTGTTAACTTTCCTCCTCACCTTTTCTCACTGTCAACACCCCATTCTTGTTGCGTAGCTACAATACCCTGGGATCTTTTTTCTGTACCACATGCAATTTCTATTTTCTCGGGGTTCATGGTTTTGTTTTTGGTTTTTTTGTTTGTTTTGCTCTTTCTCCAATCATTTCCCCCAAAGTCTGCTGATCATACATCAGTGTTTAAGAGTCAGAGCCACTCAGGTGGTACCCTCACAGTGGGCTGACCAAGCAAGGGCCCAGTTTGATTGGAGATCAGCCATTCAAAGTAACTGAAAAGTTGGACGCTCAGTCGGCTGAGCCATCCAGGCGCCCCCAAGGCACCATATTTAAACAGAGATCTGGGTTTTTCTGTGGAACAGATTCATTCTCCAAAACCCAGAGTGATTTTTTCCAACTCCTGATTTTGGCTCAGGTCATGATCTAGAGATTATGAGAATAGGCCCTGCATTGGGCTCCGCACTGGGCATGGCGCTAGCTTTGGATTCAGTCTCTCTCTCTCTGCCCCTCACCCGATGACACATAGACACACACACACACACACACACTCTCTCTCTCTCTCTCTCTCTCAAATAAACATTAAAAAAATGTAAGATCATGTCGATTTCCAACTTAAAAACCTGCAAAGATGACCCAGCAATTCCTTTTCTGGGTACATACCCCCCCCCAAAAAATGAAAAGGACTTGAAGAGATATTTGCACACCTATGCTTATAGCATTATTCACAGCAGCCAAAAGGTGGAAGCAACCCAAGTGTCCGGTGATGGACGATGGATAAACAAAATGTTATATGAATAAAGCAGAATATTATTCACCCTTAAAAAGGAACTCTGGCACATGCTACAACACGGCTGGACCTTGAGAACGCTATGCTACATGACACAGGTCAGTTCCAAAAGGACAAATACTATGTGATTCTACTTACATCAAGTCCCTAGAACTGTCTAATTCCTCCAGACAGAAAAGGGAAAGGTGGGAGCTGGGGGTTTGGGGGAGGCAGATAGGGAGTCCCTGTTTGATGGGGACAGAGTGTCACCTTGGGAAGATGAGAAAGTTCTGGAGATGGATGGTGGGGTGGCCGCACAACAGTGTGAAATATACTTAACGCCTGGGTAAGATGGTGGGCACCTGGCTGGCTCAGTCAGTAGAACATGTGTCTCTTCATCTGAGGGCTGTACGTTCAAGCCCCACATTGGGTGTAGAAATTACTTAAAAATTGAAGAAAAAAAATCTTTTGACAAAACCCCAAACTGGTTAACATAGTCAATTTTGTTGTACGTATTTTACCAGAGGAAAACAAAACAAAGCCCCTGAAGTTTCCTAGTCTCACCAGGTTCTATCACCCCTTCTAGCTCCTCACAGCCTCAAGGCTGGGACTCCCAGAGGGGCCCCCAAGGGGTGTAGGCCCGTCCCTCCGCTCCCCCCAGGGTCATACACCCTGGGACCACTCCTCTTCCACCCCCGCAGGCCCGCCGCGGGCTCAGGCGCTCCCGCCGCGCCCCCGAAGGCCGCTCCACGCGGGCAGCGCCGCAGGAAAGACTAACACCCGGGCCTGCCGCCCCGGATCCGGGTGGGAAGAAAGGTCTCCGACGCGTCGTCCACCCCGCCCTCGGGATTTCGTTTTCCGGAAGTTGGTTGCGCTTGGCCGGGGCGGGACTTCCGTCACGGCGGTGCCCACCGGCCGGAAGCGGACGCCCGGAGGACTGTGTCCCTCGTCGCGCGCCGTCCACCGGCGAGCGCCTGCGCGGGACGCGCGCGGGACGGACGGGCATGGCGTTCCGGCAGGCGCTGCAGTTGGCCGCCTGCGGCCTGGCCGGAGGCTCGGCCGCCGTGCTCTTCTCGGCCGTGGCGGTGGGGAAGCCGCGCGCTGGAGGGGACGCGGAGCCGCGCGTGGTCGAGGCGCCGGCGTGGGCGGGGTCCGCGCGCCCCGGGCCGGGCGTCTGGGACTCCAACTGGGACAGGTGCGGGGCCCGCGGGGGACGTCGGGCGCGCGGACGGCCGGACGGCGGGGACCCTGCTGGCCGCCTGCCGCCCCGTGGGGTCTGAGGCGGCGGGTTCCGCGGAGGCGCGGGCGGGGCGGGTTCGCGTGCGGACTCCGGTTCCGGCTCTGGCCGCGAGGCCGCCTGCGGGGGCGGGGGCGCCTCGGCCGCCGCGCCCGGGCCCCTGCGCTGAGCCGGAGCCGCCTCGGCTGCCCCGGGGTCGGCTCGAGCTCGCGCCCAGGGCAGCCCCGGGCGGCGGCGGCCAGGTCTGGACGGGGAGGACGTAGGTCTCCCCGTAGGCACCGAACGCGCGGACCGGAGGACCCTTGGCTCGCGGCCGAGAGGAAGGGGGACGAGGGGCCCAGAGAAGGCCGGCCGGCCCCTCACGGGACCGCGTGCGGGGAAGGTGTGCGTCTCGAATAGGCGCGTGAGCCTCCAGCCACGTGTGCTTATTGAGCGCTTGAGGTGTGGCACCTGTGACCAGGAAACACTGTTTAGTATGACTTGATGTTAATGAACTTAGATTTAAAAATCAAAGCAGTGCAGATTTTTTTCATATTCACGCGTTGCAGTGATGGTATTGACACGTTGGACTGAATAAAGTGAACTTTTGAAATTTCACCTGTTCCTTTCTACTCTTTAAAGGTGGCTTCTTGGAAACTTACATTTGTTGCTGGTGTCCTGTTTCTGTTGAGCAGCACTGGTCTGGAGGCTGGGAGTGGCCTCTGTGGGTGGTTTACCCAATCCCAGCTCCTCTTGGGCGTTTATCTGAACGAGAGTGTTGACTGGTGGCCTAGTTGTATCAGGAACTTCATAGGGTTTTTTTTGTTTTTTTTTTTTTAAAGAAACTTTAAATAAACACCTTAGAATACTTTTCCAGGAAAATTGGAAAGATAATAAGAGTTCTTGTATACTCCACACCTGATTTCCTCTTTTGGTAATATTTTACTCTAGTGTGGTCTGTCACTAGTATCTGTGTGCTATTATTAGCTGACTTTTTTTGGGGGGGGGGGGAGGTTCTTCACTTTTCAGCTATTGTCTGTTTTTTCCAGGATCCCATGTGACAATCAGTCATGTCTCCTCAGGCTTCTCTTGGCTGTGACAATTTCTCAGACTTCCCTTGTTCTGATGACCTTGACAATTTTGAGGAGTGGTTATTGGGGATTTTATAGAACGCCCCTCAAATGGGATTTGTGTGTTTTTCTCATGATTGGGCCAGGGTCATATTCTTTTTTTTGTTTGTTTTATTTATTTCTGTGTTTTTCTCATGATTGGGCCAGGGTCATATTCTTTTTTTTGTTTGTTTGTTTGTTTTATTTCTGAGAGAGAGAGAGAGAGACAGCGTGGGTCAGGGGAGGGTCAGAGAGGGAGGGAGACACAGAATCTGAAACAGGCTCCAGGCTCTGAGCTGTCAGCACAGAGCCCAATGCGGGGCTTGAACCCACGAACCATGAGGTCATGACCTGAGCCCAAGTTGGACGCCCAACGACTGAGCCACCCAGGTGCCCCATATTCTTTTTTTTTTTTTTTTTTAAACATCAGTACAATCTTCTGAATTTCTTAGCCCTTTTTAAGGAAACAAGGAGGACTCTGAATCTGAAGCAGCACTGGACTCACTTTATTGGTTGAGGCTGACACACTGTATTTGTTCACCAAGTCTAGATTTATGAAGGAGGATGCTGTCTGTGCTGGAGAGTTCCAGAACCTCATCCAGTGAATTCTCCAGCCTCATCCAGTCTGTTGGAGAACCTCATCCAGTCCGGGCTTTCTATATCTGTGCCTGTGGTGCCCAGGGGTCTTCTCTGGCTCAGTCCTAGGCTCCCGTGTGGCATCTCAGCCTCTCTGTAGTAGGGCACCCCAGGTTTGCCCTGCAGAACCCTTGAATCGCCACCACTCCCCCCAGAACTTACCCTTCAACCACTTTCTCAGCTGAGTACATTCTTCTCCTAGCTCTGCCTGTAACCCAGACCTGAAATTTTACTAATTTCAGTTCTGGGAGCCACTAGACATGCCCGTCTTCGTGACGTGTGGTCATTTCTCAGCATCTTTCCTGCTGCTGTCCCCCACTGTCCCATCAGCTCTTCCTCACCTTTCCAAAAGTGCCACCCAATAGACTTCATGATGCTGGGAACGTCTTCCTCCTCACCTCCCACCGATTGCCACCATCCCATGTGCTGCTGCGCATTTCAAGTGTGCCTCGTGTGACTGGGGAAATGGGAGTTTTTTTTATTTAACGTTCATTGTTTGATTGTAAGTAGCCACATGGCCGGTGGCTGTCATTCCTCTGCGTCAGCAAGTCCACACTGGCCTTGTGGGGACTCCCCTAGCCCTCCCTCCATTGCCATTCCTGTTACCTGGTTTCGTTTTCTCTACGTCACTGACCACCTGGCTGTTGTTACCAGCATCCTCACTAGAACGCAGGCAGCACGAGGGCTTTGCTTGTCTGCTTTGTTCACTCAGCACCCCGAACAGGCCTGGCACTCGGCTCTGTGCAGTAAATGAGATGTGCTCCGGGGGACTGGGCTCTCGGGCCAGTGGCGGAGGGCAGAGGACATTGGCTTGTCCCTGTGCTTTCCTAAGACACAAAGACTGTCTTGCCAGAAATCTCCAGGCTGACTTGTGGACGGGGGGCACAAAGACCACACCTCTCCCGTTTCAACATTAGGCGAGAACCGCTGTCCCTGGTGAACCTGCGGAAGAGGAACCTGGAGTCTGGGGAAGAAGAACTGGCCTCCAGGCTGGACCACTACAAAGCCAAGGCCACGCGACACATCTTCCTCATCAGGCACTCCCAGTACCACGTGGATGCCTCCCAGGAAAAGGAGCGCACGCTGACGCCCCTGGGTATGTGCTGGGGGCGCCGGGCCCCTTTGTCCCTGGGTCGAAGGCTTGGCCGAGATTCAAGCATGGTCATTAACCGTGATCGTGAGCCTGACTGACCCAAGACAGGCGTTAAAAATATCCTCCGCTTTAAAAACTAGATGGTGGGTCTTGCAAGCGTTCAGATGCGAAGCACAGCAGAGGTGTCTGCACCTCCGATGCCCTGCCCGCTGCGCACCTCGTGTGCACGGCAGCCTGTTGCTGCTGACCCTGTCTCTGCACCTGTGGGTCTGTTAGAGTCGGCTTCACAGTAAACAGACGAGACCGGGTGACAGCCGCTCTCCCCAGCCAGAGGCGCTGTGTGTTGCGGTTTCTGGCCGTCGTGAGAGGCGCCGTGGGGCACGCCCGTCTGCCGTGTGCTGCACGCAAGCGTCTCTGTAGAAGAAACTCCAGGAGAGGAAGTGCACAGTGGTCTGCACTGTAAATTTTTAGAGATTTCTTTGTCGGACAGGATGTTACCCATTTACACCTGTATTAAAAAATTCAGATGTTGTAGAGGGTTCAGTAGCCTGTTCTCCAGCCTCCTGTGCTGGTCACTCTTGAGGCCCTTGGTCTTCACGTGTTGACATCTGTGAGGACTGCACAGCTGGCGGGTCAGCGGCACGTTGCGACTCCATCTTTGGGCAAAATTGAATAAACGTGGCGCGAGGGACCCTGAATAACAAACAGGACCCTGCCCCCTTCGGTGACCCTCAGCCTGGGCACTGTTTTCAACGTTTCTTCTGTGTAGGGCTGAAGGTGACTGGATTATCCCCTTGAACTAACCTGCTGAGTGCCTGGCCCCCAGTTAGGCCCACACCCCAGGGGGCCTGCCCATCTTGTCCCCCAGTCCTAATGGTGCTTGGTAAGGACTGGGGTATCTGTAAACAGAAGAAGGGCTACGGCAACATGGAATTCTCTGGTGTTTCTCACCTTCAAGGTCGTGAACAGGCTGAACTAACTGGGCTCCGACTTGCAAGCTTGGGCTTGAAGTTTAATAAAATTGTCCATTCGTCCATGACCCGTGCCGTCGAAACCACTGATATCATCAGCAAACACCTGCCAGGTGAGTGCCTGGCAGCCCCAGGTCCCTCGGCAGCAGGACTGAAAATGAGAGGCCCCCGGGGAAGCCTCTCCTGAAGGGGTAACGCGGAGTCCCTGCTTCTCCCGCAGGGGTCTCCAAGGTCAGTACAGACCTGCTGCGGGAAGGTGCCCCCATCGAGCCCGACCCGCCCGTGTCCCACTGGAAGCCGGAGGCTGTGGTAAAACCCCCACTCCCCTGGGGAGCACCCCCGCCCCACCCCCTCACTTTCTCTACACCCCTCGACCTGCGGCCCGCGTGCTGCCTCCGTACTTAAGGTTCCCTACTCTGCCCCCAGCAGTATTACGAAGACGGGGCCCGGATCGAGGCCGCCTTCCGGAACTACATCCACCGGGCGGACGCCAAGCAGCAGGAGGACAGCTATGAGATCTTCATCTGCCACGCCAACGTCATCCGCTACATCGTGTGCCGGTGAGGGACCAGTGCAGGCGCAGCCGCTTAGGCCTAGTGCCGGGCGGGCCATCGGGCCAGTGGTGTTTCCTGGGTGAAACCCACTGGGCCACCCGCTTCGGGCTCTGTGGGTCCTGGACTCCTTGCACCAGACACTCTATTTGCCCCCATCTTGGGAGACCAACATTCTCTTTCCAGTTTATACCGTTTGGATTTAGCACCTGAGGGTGGGTCCTGCCACAGCGGATACTGTGGTGGTGTTTGCCTGGCGGTGCTTTCGTCTTTCCCTCGTTTTGCGTTTCTTCATGGAGATTCTTTTGTGAGAGCCCGCTCTTACCCCGCTCTGGTTTGTTTGTAGGATTACGGACTCACGGATCTTTAGTTGGCGCCGTGGGTCGCACCGCATCGGCGTATCGCTGATCTGGCCGCCCCAGCGTTGGTGGCTGGGCCTCACTTCCTGGCACTACAGCAGGTTCCAGAGCGCCCATGAGTGACGCCTGCCCCGAGGCACAGCTGTGTCACAGGGTGCTGGTTAGGCTGGCTGGGTGCTTACGTGTTTGGCCAAAGCTCACTTAGTGCAAAACGTGACACAGCTGTAAGCCCAGCCCCCCCCCCCCCCGCCCCCCGGATCCACTAGAAAATACGTGTCACACATTTTAGCAGCTGAGGGATTTCCCCTTCTCATAAGATGACAAGTGTGGCAGCAGCAGGACAGGACACAGCCCGGCCAGCTGGCCTGTGGTGCCGTCTAAACCTACGCCCGGGGTCTCTGCTGACCCCGCTTGACCCTCAGGCCTGTCACCAGGGCCACCGGGGTGGGAGTGTGTATGGCCTCTGGTGAGAAGCTCAGGCATCCGGGGCAGATGGAGGGTGGCTTGAGACAGGGCTCCGCACCCTCCAGCCGAAGTGCCCTTCAGCAGGCGTAGTCTGGGGGCCCCTGTGCACAGCACTTTCCCCTGCGCCCTCCTGTCTGCTGCTCTGGGCGCGCGTCCATCAGCCGCGTGCGAACGCCATGTTACAACACGGCCTGGGACAGGCTGACCTACGCGGCCACCAGGAAGTGACCCCAGTGCTGAAAACACAGAAGTAATCGGGGACTTGGCGTAAAAGTGGTCTGTGTGACAAAGGGCTGGAGGGAGCCGGAGCATCCCTGTCAGAGGACGTGAGGGCCCTGCGGGGCCTGAGGGCGTGTGGACAAGACTCAAAAGCAGCACCAAAGTAGCTCTCCCCGAGGCTGTTGGCCGCAGGGCGAGGTGAACCGTGGTGATGCCGCTCATCCACTGGGATATTCTGGACACGAAGGCGATCTGACGATTCAAAGGGAAGCCTTTATGACCCTGGGCTTTTCGGCAACTGTTGAGCCAGAAAGCGTTTCTCAGAACGAGAAGACCCTGCTCCAAGGGTTGGGATTACTTCACCGTGTTCCTGGTGGAGAGCGGGTCAGGAGTGGGTCCTTTGCACCGTTATGGTGGCCCTGCCCCCTCCTGGTTACACTGGCAGGAGGTCAGCCACACTCACCTGTAGAAATGGTGTGTTTCTGACTCCCATGCACCTCCTGAACTGGGTCGGCCCCCTGAGCTCAACGGGTAGGCATCTGCTCAGTGCCTCCCTCCTCTGAGGAACTCCTTGCTTAGAAACGGGAGGGACAGACCTACGTGTGTGGGTCTCAGCTCTGGAAAGGTCTGAGGGTTGACCAAGCCCCCCGTTCCAGCACATTCTTTCTCTTCCAGGGCACTGCAGTTCCCTCCAGAAGGCTGGCTCCGCCTCTCTCTCAACAACGGCAGCATCACCCACCTGGTGGTCCGGCCTGATGGCCGAGTGGCGCTCAGGGCCCTTGGGGACACGGGGTTCATGCCCCCAGACAAGATCTCCCGCTCCTGAGGGGCTGCCTAGAGGACCTGCGCCCTCAGTCCCCAGCCCCGTTCCCACAGGTGCCGCCACTGCCACGGCTCCTTCCCCATCTTCCCTCCATAGGCTGTGCTGCGGGGACACCGTGTTTCTCCGGGAGGAGGGTGAAAAAGTACGAATCTCTTTAGTGTCTAAAACGTGGCATTTCAGTCTGTACTTTTGGCCCAGATGGAAAAGGGAATCATCCCGAGCAGATCAGCCTGATTTCTCTCGGGGTTCTCTGCCCTGTCTGCCGGGACGGGGCCTCCCGGACGCCGTCTGCAGGAACCGCGGCCGATCCGCACAGGCATCTCTGGTCGTGACCACGGTTGGCCACATGAGCCCCTCAGGGCTCGTCCGCGAAGCTCATCACGCACGAGGGGCTCCGCGGAGGAGGGGCCGCCAGTGCTTCGTTCGGAACTTGTACATTCTTCTCGTTTCTTGAAACCCTCTTGGTCACTTAAGTATCTGTAATTAAAGATTCTCTTCATCTGGGTTCTTGCTTTGATAACCACTCAGTCTGGAGTCCTGCATCTGTGTCGCCACTGGATCTGAACTCACCAGGCCTTTCCTGGCACCTCGGAGCAGTGTGGCGGGTGAGTGAGGGGACCCGACAGCGACAGCTGGGGTCCTGTTTCAGTAAGACGCTAGACACTTCAGTCTGCCTCTGGCTGTCAACTTTTACGCTTACGGATTAGACTGTTTAGACGTGATGTGTCCATTCCAAGTATTCTGTTAACTTAGGAGAAACTCCAATTCCTGTGAAGTGATTATGAACATTTTCTGCAGTCAGTGCAACTAATTGAGACATCTGATCCATTTCTCTGTAACTTTGAAAATAACTGCAAAATAAAATTTTATTTTACTGTTTTTTTAAGGTACTAATTGTGAATGTTTTAAAGAAAACAGGAACCCAGACGTGCCGGAATGCTGCAGCAGCGGGGGTGGGCTCTTTTTCACAGAGTGTTCCCGGGGTTGACGGCCTCGCTGGACGTGTACCCACCAGGGGCCAAGGCCCAGCCCCAAGATGCACCAGCCCCATGGCACTTTCTAGAAAGTTGTGACAAGCCAGGGGCTGTGCCAGCTTCTCAAAGTGACCGGCAACACATCCCACCTCCGGTGTGAATGACGCACGGGAACCCAAGTCCGAGCCCTGGACCCTCGGAACCTGGGGCCTGAAGGCGGAGGCAGCAGGCCCCTCTCCCCCTTCCCTCAGGGAGGTTGGTGCAGCTGCCTCTCTCATCTTCAGACCTGCCTTTCACTTGACCTTGAGATGCAGGGCAGCGTTTTGGAAACCAGAAACGAGCCCACGTTGCGGGGAGGCGGGTGGGGAGCAGGCGGTGGGTGCTGACGTGGGGTCACAGGGCTCACTAGTGTCGAGGTGGGAACTGTCCTCTGCGAGGACAGGGGACTCCACTTCTGGGATGTCAGCAGCACTGTCCCAAGTTCAGCCAAAATGAGAGCTGTATCAGGAACCCGCCCAACACGAGGGAACCAGAGCCCACCTCTGGGAGCAAACAGCAGTTGGTTCCCATGCTGGTGTGGTTTCTTCCCAAATACTTTCTTCTGAGACCATCAAGGAAGGAATGGAAGCGTGTCTGTAAGCTGGAGAGTACAGGCAGGTTTTGTGCGCGTGCGCAACCGCAACATGCCGGTGTAAGAAAAGTGTAGGCCTGGTGAGCACACCCAGCTGAGGACGAAGGGGCAGTGGGCGATGGCCTCCGGAACCCACCCTGTCACGGCGGTAACCCCACAGCCCACTGCTTCCTCGGAAAGCTGTGAATGTTTCTGGGAGTAACCCCAAATTATCCAAGAGGATCTGTCCGTGCTCCTTGCTGTCGGGGAAGGTCTTTAAACAGACGTGCCTGCCAGCTGACCTGAGAGCTGGCCCAGGGCACCCGGAGGCTCCTCACCCTCTCCCCTCCTTAGATGTGGACTCGGCTCACCTTCCCTGCTCACAGAGCCTTGAGAAGGTGACGTGGGGCTGAGAACGCCTGCACGGTAAGCGTGACAAACACCGAGGCTTCCAAATAGACTTCGGGTGGGTGCAGGGATCCGTCCACCTCCCCGCCCCAGACAGGCCTCATACAGAAGTTCTTCTGCTTATCAAACCTGGACTGGCCGCCTCTTGGTTTCTCTCTGCCCTCCGTACAGGGGCCAGTTATACATTTCTCCTGGGAAACTCCCAAGAGGGTTGCAAACCGACACTTGACATGTGTGGTGGGTACTCGTTCTAGAACAGCCTGGCTCCGGCTTCCCCCAGGCAACGACGGGGGGTTTTCCTGTGTCCCTCGCGTCAGCCATCACCTCTTCTGAACTGAAGAAATTACACTCCACTTGTTAACATCACAAGACAGGTTTCTCATTTCCAAGGGCGATTACGAAGTCTATGCCAGCTGAACTCAAAAGTTGGTTTTTCACAACCATGTTAGTAACAAAAGGGGCCAAAAAACAGCACACTCGCCACCATCAGATGAACGCAGCGTTTCAGCGCGACGCGACTTAAGGTTTCACTAAAAGCGGTACTTTGCCCAGACACCAGTGAGAGCAGTCTTTCTGGAAGCTTAGAATTATTACCACGTGGTTTTAATAGTTTCATTAAGTAATTTAAAAAACAATGCAAAGTCCCCGTAAGACACGTGATAATGCACTCATTGGGACCAGGGAGAAATAGTCAAAGAAAACCTAAAACTTCAGAAAACAAGAACCACAGTCTGCAAAAGTAGGACAGAAACACTTTTAATTTCCATCTGGATATTTACAACCACATACAGGACAGTATGGTCAGATGCTATAGAAAACAGACGGCCACTGTGAATATGCTATCTGTAGTCTAATTTCTTCTGAGAACAAAGATGCCTTTTTTTAAATGCCACTGGCTTTTAGAATACAATGTATTTTTCTGTGTTTTACCTAGATTGTCACACTAGTGAAGACACTCTATGTAACAACCTTTAAAATTTTTTAATCTAAGTCTTGATTCCAATATTCCTGACCTGTCTCTTATTAACATATGAAAGAAATAAACTTTTTTTTTTTAAACCCAAGTTCCAAATCAGAGTTTTCATAAGGAAAAAAAACCAACCTCATTCCTACTTAGTATCACTGTATGTTCTCAAAAAGCAAGTTTCAGGAAAATAAAAAACAATTTACAAAAGGCACTGAATTTAGGAAAAATTGGTAGAGCTCTGCATTTTGGATGGAACACTGGACACGCTCACAGAGCACCAGCAGCGTGTGAGCAGTCACATACACCCGGGAGAGGTCACAGGTTGGGTGTCAATTGTGGCAGTGGTTCTGAAGTGGGCCCCATGCTCCAGGCAGACCCCCAGGAGGTCACGGCCAAGGGGAAGCGGACATAAATGCACTACGGTAACTGACCAGGATTCAGAGATACACCTCTAGTTTCTGTACTAAAACACAACAATTTTGCAAAGAAAATCCAAAGGAAGTGAATTCGAAAATACACATTTGAAAACCAGAGAAAAACTTAAAAATTATTTTATTTGCATCACCCTGGCAACTAAACAAAGTAACTGCAAGTGCAGGCTCCTTAGGGCTGCTGGTCTGTCCAGTGCTGGCGACGATTCCCAGGGCTCCTACCAACTAGAGGATTTACTCCCAGAGAAAAGCTAGTGTCCCTCTGGTCACCAGCTTAATTGTCTGTAATGACCCAAACTAGAAATGTTGCTGCAAGTCTAAGACACGGACTGACTCCCGGACACCCACCTGTAACAAGTGGCCTAAACTGCTGGGATCCAATGGCAAAACAAAGATTTTCTATCATGAACTAGAAAGTCCAAGACTCCTTCCCAGAAAAGGAAGATGGCACAAAATTCATCTGTTCTAAGAACAGACCTGGAGAGCAGCTATTCGAGGGGCGCCACCGCCCACCTGGCCACCCCAACTCCAGCACCAGCAACCAGCCGTACGCCTGGGATCGTGAGCTCAAGTCTGCATCGGCACAACTGACAATTCTCAGAAAATCTGTATCCGAGTTCGCTTTCATCAAGTTCTCCCAAAACATCAGAGAATGAAATTTTATACAAAAAAATTTGCATTTTCTAAAATTCTTTTAACTCTCAAAATGAGAACTAATAAATTAATCAGAATATATTCTTCTTGGTAGAATTTTAGCAGTAAACACGTTACCCTTCTTTCTTTACAAACACAGATCAAAGACACCCGGCAGCTCGCAGCAGCCCCTACAAGGCCGTGAGCTGGGCCGGGCGCGCCATCCTGCGGAGGCGGCCCCCGCCTGCGGGGCTATAGCGCCCAGGGCTGCTCAGGCCCGGGGAGGGCGGGGCGGGGCCGGGCTTCCCGGGGCTCCTCCCTGGGCTGCAGCTGTGGGGACCCCCAAGATCCGGCTGCCAACACTCCAGCCTCCCTTTCAGCGAGGGGCTTGGCCAGCTGAGGAAACCAAGAAAGGTCCGTCAGCACAGAAGGCGACATGGGCCCCGCACCCCAGCCCCACGAGCCCTGTGGATTCACGGCACGTGTGCGCTTCCACACGAGTCCCGCGGGGCCCTGACCAGGAGCCCCGGCTGCTTGCATCCCCTACCCCGACCTTGTCGGCAGCACCCGGTCCCCTCTCCCCCCAAGCTGCAGACCCCTTGCCTGTGCAGGCAGCTGCATGTCAGCGTGGCCGACCCGTCTGCCAGTGTCCCAGATGAGCCACGTGGATGAGAACCAGACCGTTCTGGAAGCCGGCCACCAACACCCCCCACGAGAGACAGGTGACGCCACAGGCCCACTGACCTCTGTCTGTCCGAGGGGGAGAAGCACAGGATGGCGTTCTTCCACCTGTGGATGGCTGGGTACCGCTGTGGGTCCACGT